GGGGCCCAGGCGAGGGAGGGCCCCCCCGTGCTGCCAGCCTGCCCGCCTGGAGCCCCCGAGCCGAGGGGGAGGGACCGCGACCAAAGCAGCCAGAGCTCCCCTGGCATCACCCGTGGCCCCCTCGCCTGGGAGATGCCCGCCCGCTGTGGCAGCAGGTCCAAGGATGCGGATGGCTCGCAGGACCCTGCTTCTTCAAGCACCCTAAGGCCAGGCTGCATTGAGAGCGCTGCCTTTGTTTTTTTTGCAAAAATATATATTTACACACACGTAACTATCTCCAACAACCTGGCTTGTGACGAGGTGCTGGCAGCAGCAGCCTTTGTTTTTTGCAAAAATATGTATTCACACACACCTAACTGTATCTCTAACAACCTGTCTTGTGACCGCTCTGGTTCCCTTGACAGTCCAAAAACACACCGTTACAGTTACATCACTTGTCCTGTTACAAAGACCACACACCCATCATCATCCCCTTGAAACCATCACAGTTACCCAAAGGACTACCTCATTCCCCTCTTTCCCCTCCCAAATCCCCCTCCTGCTTGTTCGTATTCTGGTCGTCCTCATTACTCTTTTCAGACAGCTCGCCTCTGAAAGGTCTATCTATGCTGTCCCTTTTTTTCCATGGGATGTCCACCACCTCTTTCCCATCCAGTTCTACTGTCTTCCTGTAACACCAGTACATCTCACTCAGGCACGCTGTAATACAGTCCTTGACTGGGAGGTTTGTGTGCCTGTTTGTGAGCAAGTTCCTGGTCTTCCACAGAACATTTTTTTTGCAAAAATTTTTATTTCTATATACATAAACAACTATACATATATATATATATATATATATAAAGAGAGAGAGAGAGAGAGAGATGGATATATATAGATATATATAAATATAACTGTACCTGTAGCAATCTGTCATGTGACCACTGTGGTTCACTTGACAGACCAAAAACACGCTTTAACAGTTAAACTATTTTAGTCCCAGTACAAAGTTCGTGCCCACACACCTATCACCATTCCCCTGAAAACATGAGAGTTTCATAAAAGTCTCCCTCAGTTACCTCCCCTGCACCCCCACCCCCCAACCACCCTCCTGTTTGTCCCGTCCACAGGACGTTTTTGAAACAGGGGATGAACTGGTTGAAATGGGCTGTCAGGCCCCTTGCTGTTTAGTCAAGTGCCCATGCAGAACCGCCTCTCTGGTCAGGGTTATGAACCAGGAGTACCCAAACTTTCTTCTGCACCTCTCTGGTGTATGGGCAGTCCCAGAAGAGGTGGTCAATTGTTTCTGTCTTCCACCAGCAGGATTGCTTGGGACCTCCCTGCCCTGCGCTGTTTTTCCATGCCTGCACAAGGAGTGCCCAGTGGGCTACCTGCCAGTCCAAGTCTCTGTGCTTCTGCAGGTCTTTATAGAAGATTCCCTCTGACACAGCCTGGCAGCTGTCCCCAGGTAGTAGGTCCATGGGCAATATGATGTCTATTTTCCTTACCACCTCTCATATGTTGTGGTGGTTCACCAGGGTTGCTGGGGCCTCATCGTGCAGTTTGTACTGTCGCAGAAGTGTTTCAGGACCTCATAGAACCATGGGGACTCCATGGCCCAGGGGCTCATGTTAGTTGTCATGTATACCCGCCACTGTTGCAGTAGATTCCCTGCAAAACACTTTTCAAAGTGGGCTGTTTTGGATTCTGTCCCTGTTGCCAGTTTGCAAATCCGGCTCGTGTACTTGGCCCAGAGGAACAGCAGGATGTCTGGCATTCCTCTGCCTCCGTACCGTTTTGCTTTGAACAGTATGGTCCTCACCACTTTCTCCCATGTGGAGTTCCAGAAAAAGATGCACATGGCTCTTTGGATCCTGTTGATGACTTGCTCTGAGGGGGGGGAGGGGGAGAGACTATCAACCTGTGAAATGCCACAGGGCACTAGGCAGGGGCAATCAAGGTAAGGCTTGTGGTGTTGGGGACTGTGGCCTGGGGCAAATCCCTGCCACACCTGGAATGGCTGCCTAGGACAGTGGTTCTCAACCTTTTTTTTAGGCTCAAAGTATCCCTTGCTTGGCTTGAGGCACCCCTTGTTGAACTCAAAGCAGGTCTGGCCTTGGGAAACACCAGCTCTTACTTTTCCCTTGTTGTTCTGACTACTGAAGACTACTAGAGCTGTTCTGCTGCTGCAAAGAGCTCAGCAAGCCCACAACAGCTCAGAATGTGTTTAATGCCGCAGATTCCTATTTGAAAACTCTGGGTTTAATTTGTGTATCATGTATGCACACCTAGCTGTGTTTATATTGTGCAGCACCCTTGAAAAGATCTCAAGGCACCCCAGAGTGCTGCAGCTCCCTGGTTGAGAATCAGTAGCCTATGAACAACCACCCCCATCCCCACTCCACCTTTGCCCAGGCCTGGCAGTTAGGCAGCATAGCTGGCAAAGAAGGGTCTTGGGCATGCCCCCTAATGCCACTGTCATGGTGGGCACAACAGGACTCCTCTATACCCACTGGGGTGCCCTATTGGCAGATCTAGCCATGGGTGGAATGGAACTGAGCATGTGGGGCTTATTTCTTGGGCAGAGGTGCAGACAAGGCCTTTAAGGGATGAGCTTCCTGGGTAGACAGTCAAGGTGGGGTACAGTGAAGAACTTGGTGGTAGTGGCTATGCACAGCCAGTCAGTCAGTATCAGACCCAGAACAAAGCAGAACTCTTGCAAGGATCTTAACCCCGAGTGCCAGGTATGTGACAAGTCTGGCTAAGTGACTCCCTTTGTCCAACCAGGCCCCACCAATGGGGAGAGTCCATTACTTGCAAAAAGAATATGATAAAGAAATCTGGCTGGGGTTGCAAAGTCAAGCATTGTGAAGACAGGAGAGGCCAAGGCAACCACTTTTCTACCTATTCCATACCTGCAACACTGGAATCTCCAAGGACAGAGGTGCTCACTGCATTTTGCAAAGAACCCCATCTTTTTCACTGCACAGGCTAGACTTGCTCTGGGCATGAGGCATCTGTCTGGAATTTCTGTTGATCCCCATCCTTCAGCATGTGGCTCATGCTGTGCTTACTGCCATCACCCAAGCACTGAATAAGGAATTATTCATTCCTTCATGGTCTTTTCTAGAGTAGCATCTGAGTGCCTCACAAATATTAATGAGCTTAGCTCCGTAGCTCCGCTGTTACATAAGAGAGCATTATTCCCCTCCACTACATATGAGGGATATGGAGATAAAAGCCTGCCTAGGGCCATGCAGGGACAAACTAGACTTATCACTGAGGACCATCTGACTCAGCCTTGTGCTCATCAGCCCATATTACCTCAATCACCAAGCATTCTCAGCATTCATCAACTTCAGTTCCACAAGTGAGGTTTTAACTCTGTATGTTAGGCCCTAAAGTCTCTAGCTCAGCATCTGGAAAAAAAGGAGGTGCCCAGTATTAATGGCTGCCTGACACTATTTTGGTGTGACTGGCCCAGAGGCACATGGAAGGGCTGCAGCAATGAACCAAGTTGCTGTTTGTGCCAGTCACCTCCTTAGCCACAGACTACACTTGCTCTTCCTGCACTCCCCTGCCACCTTCTCCACCTGCCTTCCAAATTCTGTGGCAAACAAGGCAGAGATCCTACAAACAGTCTCATTCACTGCCCAATTCTGGCTCCCTCCCTGAACACCAGCCAGCCAGTGCAGTATACAAGGCAGAGAGCGCTGCAAACTGAATAGTGTGATCATGTAATGGCTGATTACAGGACTGGGCCAGCTGAAGGGAGGCCATTTCCTATGGCTTGGATGCTAACTTAAGACCTGGGGGGTTCAGTTTCCTGTTGTGCGACAGCCTTCTAGTGCGACTAGAACTGTGATTCTCAAGCAGAGTGCCACAGTACCCTGGGGTGCCTTGAGATCCTTTTAAGAATGTCATGCATTGTAGCACTGTTAGTTGTGCGAACATGATTCACAAGATAAACCCAGAAATTTGAAATAGGAATCCACGGTATTAGAAACAGTCTGCCTTTCTGTGGTCTGAATTCTCTGTAGCAGAAGAATTGCTCTGTTATTTTTCTGCAGTCAAAAAATGAGTGAACTCTAAGAGCTAACATTTTTGAAGGGGTGCTTTCCTTTTTAGACCCAAAGGCCTAAACAAATACAAGGGACATGGATAAAGGCCTCTGCTCCAGCTCCTAGCTATAAGATTTGAATGCTAGTACTTCAGTGTTTCATGGGGGTGTTATATCTGGGGGACCACAGAGATACTTATGAGTCAGAGATTAAAGTTGTACAGGCAGCCTAAACTCTGGCATATCCTTATTTTCTAATATTTGACTTTGCAATTTATGCAAAGGGCATGCTCTTCATTACGTATTTTTGTTTTTAATTCCCCAATGGCTTTTCAAAGCAAAAATGAAATAGGACCATCAGCAAGACATACCATCACACACCAGTAGCAGTGTTGGAGCCCTCAACTGTCAGTCTTGCCTTAGTGTTAGGAAGTGGCTTTTACCTTGGGATGGCCTACTGAGATCACATTATGGATCTGGGGCAATCCTATACAGCTCACTCTTTCACACTCCCCTTCCAGC